AAACTGCACAACTTTCGTTTTTGCTTTGTTTACATTGGACAAGATGGCAGACAATTTTTCTCAGACACAGCCACATAATAGCGATTGCCTGAAAAATGTCACTGTAAATCTAACTAGCCACTGTTAAGAAAGAAATTTTATACACAAATGTAAAATTGGACGGAGAATTCAATTATAACTAGCATTACCAGGACGAGTAACAGTTAAAGCCTAAAACCAACCGTGAATACTTATCGCTATTTTCAATCAAACTGATGTAACAGAAAAACAGAGGACGTCCGGCTGTCGTAGACATGCGCTGTTAATCGGGTTCGTTCCCGCCGTTTTTTTTAGCTATTAAAGCTGGTGAAAATCACACCAATCGCAAAATTTCATGAGAGATTAGGACCCATTCCGAAACCCCAGCCGACATTTCCGAAACAAGTTTCAAACGGTTTCCATGGTAACGGAAACTTCCAAAAAGATCGCAAATTTCCGAAACTGTAGTCGCTACAAAAGACAAGTCGGAAAAGTGGACACAACCCGGAAAGGTTGCTTCTCGGAGCAAAAAGGTTAAGTGTTAGAGTGTCCACCAGTGAAGAAAAAACACTGGACACATGGCATTCAGAATAACACACCAAAGAAAATGACCGAGACATATTAGAGCCAGTCAGTTTGCATGTTTGTTATAATGCATAAATCATTTCCTAGGTTTTGAGACATGACAATGGTATATCTGTTATCTTATTTATTTTTTGAATAAATTAATTTAATGATTCATTTTTAATTATTATCTTTTTAATTAGTTTAGCAATTTTAGAATGGTTTGATGTGTAATGAGGTAAATCTGCTGACTAACAAGTTAATTTTTTAAAATTATTTTTTGTTCCTTTTATGTTCATCCCGGTTTTTATTTTGGTCTTGCGGTCTATTTGCAGGGACCTGCTAGAGACTGACCTCATCTTCCTGGGCTTGTTAGTCATGGAGAATCGACTGAAGCCGCAGTCAGCTCCAGTCATCAGTCAGCTGATCGATGCCAACATCCGAACCATCATGGTTACTGGTAGAGTTACTTTTTATTTCCTCATCTCTCCCATTTTTTTGTTTTAAATTTCCTCTCTTGCTCTTATTTTCTTTTTCTGTATTCCTTGTGACTTTCTCTTTTGCTTCATTTATCCTCTTTCCCTGACCCATCTCTTGGGGGCTTAAGGAAACAGACTGACCCATCTCTTGGGGGCTTAAGGAAACAGACTGACCCATCTCTTGGGGGCTTAAGGAAACAGACTGACCCATCTCTTGGGGGCTTAAGGAAACAGACTGACCCATCTCTTGGGGGCTTAAGGAAACAGACTGACCATTCTCTTGGGGGCTTGAGGAAACAGACTGACCCATCTCTTGGGGCTTAAGGAAACAGACTGACCCATCTCTTGAGGGCTTAAGGAAACAGACTGACCCATCTCTTGGGGGCTTAAGGAAACAGACTGACCCATCTCTTGGGGGCTTAAGGAAACAGACTGACCCTTCTCTTGGGGGCTTAAGGAAACAGACTGACCCATCTCTTGGGGGCTTAAGGAAACAGACTGACCCATCTCTTGGGGGCTTAAGGAAACAGACTGACCCATCTCTTGGGAGCTTAAGTAAACAGACTGACCCATCTCTTGGGGGCTTAAGGAAACAGACTGACCCTTCTCTTGGGGGCTTAAGGAAACAGACTGACCCATCTCTTGGAGGCTTAAGGAAACAGACTGACCCATCTCTTGGGGGCTTAAGGAAACAGACTGACCCATCTCTTGGTGCTTAAGGAAACAGACTGACCCTTCTCTTAGGGACTTAAGGAAACAGACTGATCCTTCTCTTGATGGTTTAAGGAAACAGACTGATCCTTCTCTTGAGGGCTTAAGGAAACAGACTGACCCATCTCTTGGGGGTTTAAGGAGACAGACTGACCTATGTCTTGAGGGTTTAAGGAAACAGACTGACCCATCTCTTGAGGGCTTAAGGAAACAGACTGACCCTTGTCTTGAGGGTTTAAGGAAACAGACTGACCCTTGTCTTGAGGGTTTAAGGAAACAGACTGACCCTTGTCTTGAGGGCTTAAGGAAACAGACTGACCCTTGTCTTGAGGGTTTAAGGAAACAGACTGACCCTTGTCTTGAGGGTTTAAGGAAACAGACTGACCCATCTCTTGAGGGCTTAAGGAAACAGACTGACCCATCTCTTGAGGGCTTAAGGAAACAGACTGACCCTTGTCTTGAGGGCTTAAGGAAACAGACTGACCCTTCTCTTAGGGGCTTAAGGAAACAGACTGACCCTTGTCTTGAGGGTTTAAGGAAACAGACTGACCCTTGTCTTGAGGGTTTAAGGAAACAGACTGACCCATCTCTTGAGGGCTTAAGGAAACAGACTGACCCATCTCTTGGGGGCTTAAGGAAACAGACTGACCCATCTCTTGGGGGCTTAAGGAAACAGACTGACCCATCTCTTGGTGCTTAAGGAAACAGACTGACCCTTCTCTTAGGGACTTAAGGAAACAGACTGATCCTTCTCTTGAGGGTTTAAGGAAACAGACTGATCCTTCTCTTGAGGGCTTAAGGAAACAGACTGACCCATCTCTTGGGGGTTTAAGGAAACAGACTGACCTATGTCTTGAGGGTTTAAGGAAACAGACTGACCCATCTCTTGAGGGCTTAAGGAAACAGACTGACCCTTGTCTTGAGGGTTTAAGGAAACAGATTGACCCTTCTCTTGAGGGCTTAAGGAAACAGACTGACCCTTGTCTTGAGGGTTTAAGGAAACAGACTGACCCTTGTCTTGAGGGTTTAAGGAAACAGACTGACCCATCTCTTGAGGGCTTAAGGAAACAGACTGACTCATCTCTTGAGGGCTTATGGAAACAGACTGACCCTTCTCTTGGGGGTTTAAGGAAACAGACTGACCTATGTCTTGAGGGTTTAAGGAAACAGACTGATCCTTCTCTTGGTGGTTTAAGGAAACAGACTGACCCTTCTTTTAGGGGCTTAAGGAAACAGACTGATCCTTCTCTTGGAGGTTTAAGGAAACAGACTGATCCTTCTCTTGGGGGTTTAAGGAAACAGACTGATCCTTCTCTTGGGGGCTTAAGGAAACAGACTGATCCTTCTCTTGGGCATTTAAGGAAACAGACTGATCCTTCTCTTGGGGGTTTAAGGAAACAGACTGATCCTTCTCTTGGGGGTTTAAGGAAACAGACTGATCCTTCTCTTGGGGGTTTAAGGAAACAGACTGACCCTTCTCTTGGGTGTTTAAGGAAACAGACTGACCCATCTCTTGAGGGTTTAAGGAAGCAGACTGACCCATCTCTTGGAGGCTTAAGGAAACAGACTGACCCATCTCCTGAGGGCTTAAGGAAAAAGTCTGACCCATCTCTTGGGGGCTTAAGGAAACAAGGAAACAGACTGACCCTTCTCTTTAGGGCTTAAGGAAACAGACTGACCCTTCTCTTTAGGGCTTAAGGAAACAGACTGACCCTTCTCTTTAGGGCTTAAGGAAACAGACTGACCCTTCTCTTGGGGGTTTAAGGAAACAAGGAAACAGACTGACCCTTTTCTTGTGTTCTTAATTAAACAGATTCAATCTCTCTGGTATGGTGACTAAAGCTTTAAATTTTTCTGTTATTTAATATGCCTTTCTGTCTCCGCTTATTTGTTCATCATCATGTCTTTCTTGTTCCCATGTGGTTGGTTGGTTGAGGTTCCAGCATTGTTGCAGACGGACTGCCCGGTAACGGCTCTGTTCCTGCCCCATTGGAAATCTCACAAAATGTCCGCCACCGTCCCATTTAAAAGCTAGTGAAAAACGTGTCAGTCCCAGCAATATCTTCAAGCTTGCACACGCAAAATGCATAAGGCAGCAGGTCCAGAATTGCAGCTGACTGCTAGTGCAAGTCGTGCATATCTAACATACTGCCTTAGTATCTTCTTCTTTACTTCCTCTTTTACCGCTTCTGGTCTTGAGGGAGATATAAGGTTCTGCTTCTTACTATTCTTGCTGCCTTGACCATAGGCACATCGTGCTGTTTAGAGTTTCTTTGATGTTATCTTTCCAGTTGTTTTAGGTCTACCTCGTGTCTTTGTCCATCTTCTCTTTCCGTGTATGCCTTGTTTGATACGGTGTCACAAGATATTCTCTCTACACAGGCAAACTATTTTATTTGTTGTCTTTGTATGTGATTTAGAATTGGTTCTGTGCCGACTTTATCTCGCATGACCTTATTTCTGATCTTATCTCTTCTGGTCACTCCCACAGCCCTTCTCAGACATCTTGCTTCCTTGTTTACTAATTTTATTTTCTGTTTTCTTGTGAGTGACCATGTCTAGCACGGTAGCATAGGGTTGGATTGAATATGCTTTGTATGAGATGTTTCTTTGAGCTTATTGGGATTGTCTTATTCTGTAAAAGGGTTGCTAGCTGTCCCAATACTTGTATCAGCCATAGTTTAAAAGTGACTTTAAATGTCTGAACATTTTAATTTCTCCTGCATATAATTATAATTTTTTTCTTGAATTAGGCGACAATATGCTGACCGCTCTAAGTGTTGCCCGGGAGTGTCAGATGGTGGACAAGACTGACCGCATCATCCTTGTCCAGGCTTACCCCCCACAGAGTGGACAGACTGATGTGACACTGGAGTTTATTTATGCCGAGGATAGCTATGCCAAGGTTGAGGAAGTGTTTGCAATGGTATGTGCTGTGTTACTGATTTTTCTGTTTCCATCTATATTGGGTTTTTTGTTTTAATTTTATTAAGTCAGATGTCCGTCTGGCTCTGACAGCACAAGGTTGGTTTGAAGACTGCAGTTATGTGTCTTTTTGTCTCAGTTGGAGTAGCCAAGTGTTTCCAAATTGATTAGATGAAATGTGTAGAAAACCTCACTTGAGGCAATGGGCGCAGGATGAAGCATGTAGCCTCCCACTTGAAGCGCGTGACAAGTCTTTAATTATTTGTGTCATGATAAGTGTGGAAGATGATTGAGCCAATATAATAATGAATAATGCCAGTGACAAATAAAACAAGAACTTCCGTAGATCAACTTTGAACATTCAGTGTACCTCAGTAACACATGCATGCCTGATAAAGCATCGCATACTTGTCAAGTATCTCGGGTTACTCAACAGTGTTGAGCTTACAGGTCACTGATTCCTGTTCAACAGTAATAGAGGACATCTGACACATGTCAAAGTCTGTTCACCGTATTTTGACATCAGGACAACGAATGGCATCATGAGATACGAATTTCATACTGCTACTGTCATTCTCGTCGGCTCTGTGGCTAAGTCGATGCGAACACTTTGTAATGCTGGGGTGCTGGGTTCGATCCCAGTGGCGGGCTATGCGCCTTGCTTTGGTTTCGACAGTGTTATCAAGAAAGCAGACCGTCCAGAAAGCAATGGCAAACTACTGGATGTAAATTTGCCTAGAAAAACCATACAACAGACAGGGGCTGTTGGGGTTGGTTCTGCAACATCCTGTAAAGGATACGCAACTAACCTAACTGTCATTCTCACTACCAATGCATACACATTCAGGATGCTCTGAAGGGTTTTTACTGCCACCCTATGCTCTGAGGTAACTACGGGGCAGTCATTACGCGCTCGCGCAAATCAACTGCTCATGATTACGCTACTGTCTCCCTGACACCTATCACTTGGATATACGGTCGCTAGAGAGATCATACAGGCTGAGGCACAATACTTTGTGGGAATTATCCAGACGTTTTATCTGTGGCCTGTCTCGTACCTTGAGGTATTCTGATCTAGCCTCATGAACCTCCGTCCCGCTGAGCCTTGCTACTGCGGCAACTCCAACAGATAACGGGGACACTAAACTCCAGCGTAACACATAGCTGTGCAGGTCTAGTCTGGCAACACCCAGACAAGAACATACCTTCACGCACGTCACCCAAGCTGGATTTATCAGGCAAGAATGGATTGCAACACTAAGCACTTCACAAGTAGCTGCCCTAACCTTCATCTTTGTGCCAGGTCATGCAGGTGTTCAAGGGAACGAGCGTGCAGACTATTTTGCTGACTTCAGTTGCTATGGCTGGCCCAGTACTGGACAGAAGTGATGTTATCAATGCCATGCGCTGCACTTACTGTACCGAGGAGCACGCCGAAGGACATGACTCCGTATCCCTGTCTAGACTCCGTATCCCTGTCTAGACTCCGTATCCCTGTCTAGACTCCGTATCCCTGTCTAGACTCCGTATCCCTGTCTAGACTCCGTATCCCTGTCTAGACTAATGGACATGGTGGCACAGCCTGGAGCTGCAAGAAATGAACATTACACTAACAGGTGTCATCAGTCGTTTTACACTTGTGGAGCTTTTGAGGGGGAGATCAGATCTGTCCGGAGTGCTGTGATGATAATCCTTTCTAATCACTAATCACTAATCACTAATCTAATCACTAATCACTAATCACTAATCTAATCACTAATCACTAATCACTAATCACGTCACCTGAACTCCCTGATCCTGTGCTACAGCTGCACCCATGATAATAACATCAGTTCTCAGAGGCTCTGACGATGTGTCCTTCTACTTCAGGGTCACAGAGTCAGCTCTTACTCTCTCTTCATGGAATGAACTTTCAATAGAGGACCGGCAGGCTGAACATTAAAGAATGCTGGGTTGTTATGGGGAAGTCCCAGGTTTAAATCCTCAGTAAGGTTATAGTTTTTTTTCTGTCAAGGACAAAAATATCATCCTTACCTGCACAGTCCATCGTAACTTCACTAGCCACAAGGCCCTAAGTCCTCAGACTCAAAGACCCCACACTCACATCCCCTTCCCTAAACCCCAAAAGTGGTAAATATATGCAGTTACGGCAGTTTTGTTTGTTTGTTGACAATCATCTTTATACAACTGATCCCATATTCGTTGTATAATCTTCGTAACTTTTCCACAGGAGAACCAAAAGATACAGATTGATGAAGACAGCCAGAGATTCCACTTTGCACTGACAGGGAAGACGTGGGCAGTCATACGCCAGCACTGTCCCGACATGCTGAACCGAATTGTTGTGCGAGGGGCAGTCTTTGCCCGAATGGCTCCAGAGCAGAAGGGTCAGCTTGTTGAGGTTCTGCAGGATGTTGGGTAAGTTGGGATGTTAGTAAATGTTGGCATTAAATGTTAATGTTGAGTCAGTGTTGGTGTTGGGTAAATGTTAGTGATGGATGAATATTGGTGTTAGATGAATGTTGGTATTGGATTACAGTTGAGTTATTCAGAAAGTTTCCTCTTTTCTTCTTCCCCTCCTTCTTCACCTCCTCCTTCTCCTCCTCCTCCTTCTTCTCCTCCTCCTTCTTCTCCTCCTCCTTCTTCTCCTCCTCCTTCTTCTCCTCCTCCTTCTCCTCCTCCTCCTTCTTCTCCTCCTCCTTCTTCTCCTCCTCCTTTTTCTCATCCTCCTCCTTCTGCTTCTCCTCCTCCTCCTCCTTCTCCTCCTCCTCCTTCTTCTCCTCCTCCTCCTTCTTCTCCTCCTCCTCCTGCTTCTTCTTTTCCTGCTTCTTCTTCTTCTTCTTCTTCTTCTTCTTCTTCTCCTTTTCTTCTACTTCTTCTCCTCCTCCTTCTTCATCTCCTTCACATTTTTCTTTTTCTTCTCCTCCTCCTTTTCCTCCTTCTCCTCCTTTTTCTTCTTCGTCTTCTCCTCGTCCTCCTCCTTCTTCTTTTTCATTGTCATCTTTTTCTTATTTATCTTATCATCTTCTTCTGTGATTTCTCGTAAAAGACGGTTGACACATGTTGTGGTTTACAAATGGGCTGTGATATCTATACTTGTTTGGCGCCTATTAGTCAGCTTATGAATGTATATATTTGCATACATGCTCACACAATGTGTGTTGCAGGTACTACGTGGGGATGTGTGGAGATGGAGCCAACGACTGTGGTGCCTTGAAGACTGCACATATGGGCATTTCCTTGTCAGAGACTGAAGCGTCAGTGGCCTCCCCTTTCACCTCCAAAACCCCAACGATCGAATGTGTGCCAAAGGTCATTAAGTAAGTGCTAAAGTTCAAAATATCACCAAGTTAATGTTACGGTTCAGAGGTCATCAGGTTGGGGTTAACTCTAAGCCCTGATAAGCTGCAGAACCGACACTTCAGTTGGGGCCGATTCCCCATAAATGTCACTTTTCCGACTTGTCTTTAAGGACCTGTTTGTAAGATATACATTTAATGCTGTTGGCTGAGTTCATGCAAATGTTTATGAAATCAAGATGTGATTATATAAACTTCACTGGGGGGATTAATTTTTTTTAATTGATTTTTTAAAAGCCAAGTCAACATCAAATTGTCCCATTAGCCTCAGTGATAGAGGTCATGGGTTCACACATGAGTAACCCTATACATATAATTGTTTAGGCTCTGGGGAATGTATTTGATTTATTTCTTCACTCCGTTCATGTTTGTAGATTTCTTCTTTTATGTATCTTCTTTTTTTTTAAATTAATATTTATTTAAAAAATTTTTTTTAATGTACATAAATTTTATAATTTAAAAAAAAGTGTTAGCGCAGTGGATAGGAGACTCACTTTCAAATCCATCTGCAACTCGCTGTAGCCCACGGCTGGTGTTTGAAACCCGGGCGGTTCCCTGGGTTCACCCAGCCTCTAGGTAATGGGTTAACACTCTTGGGTAAATGGAGGAAAGTCGCTGTAGCTACAGAGTTGCGTGCGGACGGCGACACAGGTGGACAGTTTCTCATCAGCTGTCGGTATTGGTGGCAGAGCACTTATGGTTTATAACCGTGTGCAATGACGCTGGCTCACATCTCCCGACTTTACCTGTTAATTTTTGAAAAAAAATTATTGTGATCTGTGTAGAAGTGTTTTTAAAGGATTTCTTTCAAGAGTTCCCGCAGGATCATGACCCATTTTTTTAATAGTCTTATTGAGATGAAAATGTTATAATGTGAGGGTTATCAAAGAGATGCTTGATATCTGTCAGGCAGCTACGCAGGCAGGCGTTTTCATGATGATAGCTCGCCTAAAATTTTGGCGCATCGTTTCCGATTTTAGAAAACTTTTTATTTAATCACCTTTGATAACATGCTTTTTAAGAGGCTGTGAGTGTACGTACGGGAAATTTGAGACTGGGGGATTCAGAACTTTGCTCATGTGGACAGACTCTACAGAATACTCAACATGTGGACAGACACTACAGAATACTCAACATGTGGACAGACACTACAGAATACTCAACATGTGGACAGACACTACAGAATACACAACATGTGGACAGACACTACAGAATACTCAACATGTGGACAGACACTACAGAATACACAACATGTGGACAGACACTACATAATACTCTACATGTGGACAGACACTACAGAATACTCAACATGTGGACAGACACTACAGAATACTCAACATGTGGACAGACACTACAGAATACACAACATGTGGACAGACACTACAGAATACTCAACATGTGGACAGACACTACAGAATACTCAACATGTGGACAGACACTACAGAATACTCAACATGTGGACAGACACTACAGAATACTCAACATGTGGACAGACTCTACAGAATACTCAACATGTAGACAGACACTACAGAATACTCAACATGTAGACAGACACTACAGAATACTCCACATGTGCACAGACACTACAGAATACTCAACATGTGCACAGACACTACAGAATACTCAACATGTGCACAGACACTACAGAATACTCAACATGTGCACAGACACTACAGAATACTCAACATGTGGACAGACACTACAGAATACTCAACATGTGGACAGACACTACAGAATACTCAACATGTGGCTACAGACATGCGTGGAAAGATATAAAACCAAACGAAAAGTATATCAGCTAGCCTCACCATATAACAAACATAAACAAAACGTGAAGGTTGCGGCTATGAAGCCTTCTTCAGCACATACATAGAATAGACAATACTACACAAACACACAATATTACTTATCTTCGTATCTCGGGGCAGCCAGGTCGATGTCAAGACAATAGTCTGGTGAGGCACGTGAGGACTGGGAAAATAAATATCTGGGGATATGCCAGGGGCTGTCACTCGAGGATAAGATGAAACTTTGTAGGCAGTTCAGCCCCCTAGGAGAGAGATCCCAGGTTTGACTGGTTGGCATTACAATGGACGCCAAGGTGTATGGAACAGTGGAAGATATGTGTCGTACCACAGACTCATAGCGGCCTGTGGCTTTCTCATTTGAAAACCACTGGCAGGCAGAATGTCAAGCATCATTTGATGGAACAGTTGACCACATTCTGTTGAAGAACCAGCCATTCTAAAGTGAAAGGTTACAGTCGAGAACTGGGGTCACGGAACCCACACAGGGAGAATGGAGGAACTGACTATGGACCCTCTATAGATGTGAATGGCCCAACAGTGTGATAATAATTATGATGATGATTATGATTGTGGTGGTGATGACCTGTCGAAGAAAGCTGGAGCACTTTTGAAAATAACTGTGTGTGCAGTGAAAGCTGGGGCAAACAATATTCACACTGAGCTTTCAAGCAGGAGACCAGTGTTCAAATCGTTTGGTAAGGCTGGGAATTTTTTTCTGTCAGGTGTGAAAATAAACTCCTAACCTGCACAGTGCGTGGCGACAGCACTAGCCATGCAGCCTTGAATCCTCAGGCTCACAGACACCTCTGCCTACACCGCACAAGTGGTCAGTACAGGCGGTAATGGCCATTGGCAGCTATGGCAGGGTAAACCAAATTTAAATTAACATCCCACTTAAGGAAACCCAGTGTTCAGATAGCGAGTCCCCCCTTCACCTTTATTTTACAGCTTGAAGCAATCCTAATAGGCACAAAGACACATCTCATGCAGAGCATACTCACTCCCTTCCTGTGCTACCAGTGCCAGACATGGTCATTCACAACAAACCAGAAAATAAAATTAGTAAGCATAGAAATGAGATGTCTGAGAAAAGCTGTAGAAGTGACCAGAAAAAATAAACTACAGGAATGAGATCATAAGAGAAATAGTTGGCACAGAACTATTTTAAATTACATACAAAGACAGCAAATCAAATGGTTTGCCCACTGAGAGAGAATACCTTGTGACAAAATACCATACAAAGCATATGCAAAAATTGGAGAAGATAAAGGTCAAAAAGTAGATTAATAACAAGATGAAATGATAACATCAGGGAAAGTCTACAACAGCAGGATGTGCCTGAGTCAAGGCGGCTAGAAGAGCAAGAAACAGAACCTCAAATCTCCCTCAACACCCGAAGAGGTAAAAGAGGGTGACGAAGAGGTAAAAGAGGGTGAAGAAGAGGAAAAGGTGACGAATAGGAAAAAGAGGGTGACGAAGAGGTAAAAGAGGGTGACGAAGAGGTAAAAGAGGGTGACGAAGAGGTAAAAGAGGGTGATGAAGGTAAAAGAGGGTGACGAAGAGGAAAGAGAGGGTGACGAAGAGGAAAAAGAGGGTGACGAAGAGGAAAAAGAGGGTGACGAAGAGGAAAAAGAGGGTGACGAAGAGGTAAAAAAGGGTGACGAAGAGGTAAAAGAGGGTGACAAAGAGGTAAAAAAGGGTGACAAAGAGGTATAAAAAAAAAGGTGACAAAGAGGTAAAAGGGTGACGAAGAGGAAAAAGAGGGTGACGAAGAGGAAAAAGAGGGTGACGAAGAGGAAAAAGACGGTGAAGAAGAGGAAAAGGTGACGAAGAGGAAAAAGAGGGTGACGAAGAGGACAAAGAGGGTGACGAAGAGGTAAAAGAGGGTGATGAAGAGGTAAAAGAGGGTTACAAAGAGGTAAAAGAGGGTTATGAAGAGGTAAAAGATGGTGACAAAGAGGTAAAAGAGGGTGATGAAGAGGTAAAAGAGGGTGACAAAGAGGTAAAAGAGTGTGATGAAGAGGTAAAAGATGGTGACGAAGAGGTAAAAGAGGGTGATGAAGAGGTAAAAGAGGGTGACAAAGAGAAAAAAGAAGTGAAAGTGATTTTTGATAAAGTAAACATTAAAGAAAAAAATCTACCACAGATAGAGGTGAAACAAGAATTCTTTTCTTTTCTTCACAGAGAAGGCCGAGCTGCCCTAGTGACCTCCTTTGGTGTCTTCAAGTACATGGCGTGCTACAGCCTGACACAGTTTACCTCCGTCCTGATACTTTACTGGGTACAATACGTTTTGGCATTTTCCCTTTTTTCGTCCGTCTCTGTGTGTTCATTTTAATATTCACTATTTTTTTTTTAAACAAAGTAAATGCCAGGAGACAGTCTGTATTCTTTTGTCTTGACAAAGGGAAAACTGAAGTGCATCATGGCGGTGGGAAAGTTAGAGAGGAAAAGAGACTGAGGGAGATCAAAAGAGAAGATGTTGGACAGTTTGATTTCATGATGTGGGGGGGGGGGGGGGTTGCTGGGTATTGGGGTGTGGTGTCCGCCCTGAATGCTAGAGGTCCCGGGTTCAAGCCCTGCTGAAGGATGGGATTTTTCCTCGTGGATTTCTAGTAATTTCCCCCTGGTCTCTGGGTAGTGAGATCGGATGCCCGTGTGTATTGTTGCGCATGTAAAACATCCCTTGGCAGTTGGAAATCGAAAAGAGTAGCCTAACGGGGCTGCCAAGGCACAATGTGAAGTTAAAAATCTACCCAAAGTATTTCAGGATCCCCGCCGGTGCTACAGAGTTCGTGCTCTGCGCTGAGATTTTTTGGACTCAGGCTTGAGTTAGAAGAAGAACGGAGCACTTATGGGTTACTACCCGTGTGCCATGAAGTTGATCCGTTGAAGAAGTAATAAACAATGTTATAGTATGGAAGATCATTTGTGTCAGAATTTATTGAAAGTGCACGAGACAGAAGGCTGTTGATTGTCATGGATACCAATGCCACAAGGTATGGACTATAAAACGAAGAAATTAAACTCCATATTGTTTGAAGGAAAGTTAGGGTTCATGGAAAAGGTGGTAGGGGTCGACCAGCAAAATGGTGGGCACAGGATGTCTACAACACAGAATGTCAAGGACACAGGAAGATCAGGGACATCCTGGACATGAAGGTTCATGAGAAGGAGAAGTTCACCATGGACTGAGTGGTTTTCTGGCCAATCTTTCAAGTTTATACGGGGTCATAAGATGATTGCCAAGATTTTAAACCATTTTTAGGGCCTATAAAAAAAGAATTTTATGGATATGCATGTGCGGCTTCTTAAAGTGTTCAGAAAAATTAAAAGTTTAGTGTTACCTTCTGTGACCGTGACACTTAACACACCTGGCGCCAGAGACCGTCACTGCAGCAGTTGCAGCTGCAGCTGTACATCTCGACATGATTCAGAAGACGTCATTGATTTGATTTGATTCAAGAACCGACATCACAGCACTCGGGGCATTCCCATAAGCGCTCCGTCCCCATCTTCAGCAGCCAGCGAAGAGTTCCGATACTAATGGTGCCAGTAGCTTTCTGATTAAACGTCCGTCTTGCCTTTCCTCTGAGCCTTGAGCTTCTGCCAGAACCTCTCGTCAGTCTTCCCTGCATCAATCTCACCAGACTGTGGTGATCCATCTGCTCCTCCTCGAACACTGTCTAGATAATTGTATTGGGTGGTGGGTAATGAACAGGCAGACAAACTGGCAGGATCTGCACCTCTGGGTGGTGAATTGATACATGACAAGGCAGATGTGGTCAGGGCCATTTAGGAACAAGCAACAGAATCAATAAACAGGATTATTATGACCTAGAGAGAATGAGGCACCTGGGTGTAATCAGAGGGTCTGGCCGGCTCACTACACTCGGAGGAAAGGCAACACGGACATATAACCAGATTGTGACCGGTACCATCAGCATTGGAACTCTCTACTGGCTGCTGAAGATGAGGACGGAGCCTGCATGGGAATGCCCCAAGTGCTTTGATGTCAATTCTTGACTCAACTCAACTGTCTAGATGTTACCAGATCTACAAGTGGGTTTCAAAGATACTAAAGTCTGAAACTTTTCTGAACATTTTAAAATGACACAAATGTGTATATATTAATTAAATACTTTACAGTCATTTTCTATGACCCTGTGCTTATATCAGTACACCATGTGGGATCTGGGAGAAAAAGAATGTATTGATAATTCATAAATTACAGTTGATAAAAGAAAGATGAATAGTTGGAAGGGTAGAAAATAGAGCCTGCACCACCATTGGTTAAATCCTTTAATAAATAAAGTTTGTTCCTTTGTTCATATTGGTTTAAACTAAAGAGGGGAGTAACTCAGGCTTGCACTCTCTTCCCTTAGCTGTTCAGTATTCACATAGAAAATGAAATACCACTGGGTGGTCAATTGATACATGACAAGGCATATGTAGTCAAGGCCCTTTGGAACAAGCAACGGAATCAGTAGAGATAAAAAATTATTATGGTGTGGAGAGAATAAGGCATCTGTGTGTAGCCAGAGGGTCTGACCGGCTCACTACACTCAGAGGAAAGGCAAGCAGACATATAACCAGATTGTGACCGGTACTATCAGTATTGGAACTCTGCGCTGGCTGCTGAAGATGAGGACGGAGCACATATGGAAATGCTCCCAGTGTTGTGATGTCAATTCTTGACTCAGCTCAACTCAACAGAAAATGAAATGAGAAATGAAATTCTGTCAATTGTGATCACTAATAATTAGCAGAAATCCAAGAAAAATGATCAAAAGACTGACTTATTCAATATTTGCTGAAATCGGAAGTGTTGCGCCAGAAGTCACTGATATCTCAGCCTTGTGGTAAACTACACAAATTTGCAAACTGCCTTTTTCAAGGGCAATACAAAAGAAGAAGAAGCATCAGAAAAAAAAAACAGAATAACAACAACAACAAAGAAATACACTTGTGAATCATAGCCCATTCTTCTTTTCATTGTTTCTTAATGTTGCCTTCAGCTTGGAGCAAATGTGACAGACGTGGAGTTTCTCTACATGGATCTGGTTCTAATCACAACCTTCAGCATCACCTGTGAGTGTTTTAGTTGTCCTTTTTTTAGGTTTTGTTTCTATCATTATTTTTGTTTTTAATTATCATAATAAACCAGAGTTATTGAAACGGTGGTCCCCGAACCCAATCTGGCCCATTAAGGCCTAGAAAGTCGCCTGCGAATCATTGCCAGTTTTTTTGCATTTATGATCTTTTAATGCTCGAGTTTTAGCTTCTGCTTCCTGACGTTCACTGTTTTCAAAATTTTAAACCCTGAGTGTTGTTCGTCCATCTCGAGTGTTGAAGACCACTTTCATCCAAAGTAGTAATGATCAATGATTATGAGTACGAAGGTGGCTGGTTAGTCCAATATGAGCCTGGAAAGTTTTTAAGCAGTGCGGACAACAGGTGGAAGCCGCAGTAGGTGTGGGATTAGCAGTACGGTTTTTTCTTGTCTGCCTCCGTTTCTCTGCCTGTGTAACCTCCGTTGACTGACAGGCCAAAACACCATGCCTGAGGGGCGTGCGCCATCCAGAACAGTTTCTGCAGCGACTCCCACGCCGCTGTGTTGAGTAAATGAGGTTATTTCCCTGGCATAAACAAACTGGCAGACAGAGTGGGGGGGGGGGGGGATTCTGTGGGGTAACGGTCAAGGTCGTTTGCCTCGCACTGTGAAGGTCATGGGTTCATTTCACGGCTGCGTCATTCAGTTCATGGGTGCAATTTTTATTGAGATCCCTGGTGATCGTTGTTGGAGCTACGGAGTTAATGCTTTGTGTGACACTCTTCTCAGACAGCTAGTTGTACTGTGGGGAGAGACCAAGCCATATTGGATAAATCCTGACTGCAGTGCAATGAAGTTGATCCTCTTCATTTTAACCTTTAACTTTAGAGTAGCTGGTTCTTCTCCACCTGGTAGTAAACTGGTCCATCTTCGTCTGCTGATGTTTTCTCTGCCAATGATTTTACAGATGAGAAGGCCACAGGCCTCAATGAAGTCTGTGGTGCAATGCATGTGTTCCACTTTTCCATACAACTTGGTTTTCATTGGAATGCCAAACCTGAGATCTCTGTACTGCAGGTAGAGAACGTGACATTACAGGGAAGAATAGTGTGGCATTATAGTTCTCAGATTTGGCTGTGACACATGGCTGGCTAGTCTTTGTCTTTCAACTTGGCACTTTCGACTAGCATATTTTTCTGTTATGTTGCACTTCCTTTGATTGATTACTATTCCCAGCTACCAAAAAAATAAATATGGTGCTATACTCTACACATCCTGAAAAGATTTGAGTAGAGAGTCACCAAAAAGGCACTATAAGGTTAAAAAGAAGGGAATGGGGAGGTGAGGACATCCAAAAGGAACCATAAAATGAATGTTGAGGAGAGAGGCCAAAGATGCTAAACCCGATTTTTTTTTTTTTTTCCATGTCATCAAAGAGATAGCACAGGATTACATGGAATGGAGAAATAGACAGTCCTACTTGGCATAAATGACACAACAGAAAACAAATTAATGAATGTGGATGTGGTAAATAAGTGGACCAACACAGGCACTGATCAAAGGGAGATGGCAAGTCATTTGTTGGAGTAGTCTGTGTAAACTCACTCAAATTTCCATGATAATCCATTGATCAGAGTAACAGTAGAGGGAGACTGAGCTGTGCTGGATAAAACTCAGTGCACTGAAATCTGTCCTCTCAATTTAAGCTTTTTAAGTGCAGATCTGTTTAGACAGACATTCGTGGCATTAAAGAAAGTGATAAAAAACAGACATTTGGGGTTTTAAAGAAAGTGATACAAAACAGACATTTGGGGCATTAAAGAAAGTGATACAAAACAGACATTCATGGCATTAAAGAGAGTGACACAAAACAGACATTTGGGGCATTAAAGAAAGTGATAAAAAACAGACATTTGGGGTTTTAAAGAAAGTGATACAAAACAGACATTTGGGGCATTAAAGAGAGTGACACAAAACAGACATTCATGGGTTAAAGAGTGCAATTAGTCTAGGCGATGATGTGTCTAGTGAATGCTCTTTGCACACATTCTTACGATGATATAACTGGGACGATCCGACACCGACTTCAAAGTACGAAACAGTTTATTGACATCTCATCACTTACATAAAAGTCCTGTCCTAATGTACAGCTTCCACACACCACAGCTATCAGACTCCATCATGCTGGTTTCTCACACAATCATTGACCAGAGTTCGCACAGATGGATCTGGTTATTCTCATCGACTTCACACAGAATAGCCTGGGTGGTCTTGGCTTCAATGGATGTCGTCGTCTGATCTTCCTCCCGCAGCAATCAGTCTCACGTTGTCATTCTCTCGATCACTCTCCCGTCCTTTCGCTCTGACAGTCAACACATACTAACTCGTACTAACTGGGGTCTGACCATATACCCAGCATTCGTTCCACGTGGCAACACGTGGTTGTTCTTGGGTTCCACGTGGTGACCTGTGGTTGTTCTCTTTTACTTCCCCATGATAACTTGTGGTCGTCACCTATCTTGAAAACCTCGGTTAATCTGAGTATCTGGCTTCTCTTGGTATTCTTGTTAACCTTGGGCTTTCCCCCCACCCTTCCTAATCAGGGTGAAAATATCCCCCATTACAAAGAGAGTGACACAGAACAGACATTTGTGACATGAAAGAGAGTGACACAAAACTGACATTTATGACATGAAAGAGAGTGACACAAAACTGACATTTATGACATAAAAGAGAGTGACACAAAACTGACATTTGTGACATGAAAGAGAGTGACACAAAACTGACATTTGTGACATGAAAGAGAGTGACACAAAACTGACATTTGTGACATGAAAGAGAGTGACACAAAACTGACATTTGTGACATGAAAGAGAGTGAAACAAAACTGACATTTATGACATGAAAGAGAGCGACACAAAACAGAAATTTGTGACATGAAAGAGAGTGACACAAAACAGACATATGTGGCATTAAAGAGAGTGACACAAAACAGACATTCATGGATTAAAGAGAGTGACACAAAACAGACATTCATGGATTAAAGAGAGTGACACAAAACAGACATTCATGGATTAAAGAGAGTGACACAAAACAGACATATGTGGCATTAAAGAGAGTGACACAAAACAGACATTCATGGTTTAAAGAGAGTGACACAAAACAGACATTCATGGATTAAAGAGAGTGACACAAAACAGACATTCATGGCATTAAAGAGAGTGACACAAAACAGACATTCATGACATTAAAGAGAGTGACACAAAACAGACATTTGTGACATGAAATAGAGTGACACAAAACAGACAGCTATGGATTGAATAGGTCATAATGATTTTCAGCCTGGTAACTGAAATACTTGATGTTGATGACGATGATGATATCTGGCAAACTTTTCTCCTCACAGTTAGCAGAACTGCCCCATATGATGAACTGGTCAAGCAACGGCCGCTGGTCAGCCTGGTCAGCCCTGGGCCAATTTTGAGCATCATCACACAAATGATGCTGGTCATTGCTGCTCAGACTTTCATGTTTTTCAATGTTAAAGAGCAACCTTGGTGAGTTCGTCATTACTGGTGTTTGTGTTGTTTATTTTATTCTTCCTGTTATGAGGCTTCTTCTTTTTCTGCTTGTTCTTTTTTCTTGTTGTTTCCTTTCTTATTGTTGTTTTTCTCTAGTTCTTTTTGTGCTTTTTTGTCTTGTTCTTCTTTTTCTCCTACTACTACTTCTTATTGTTCTTATACTTCTTCTTTTTTTCTACATAGTTATCTTTTTCTTCTTTTATTCTTCTTCCTCTTCTCTTGTTTTTTTTTTTTTTTTTTTTTAATAGTCTTTTTTTTTTCTTTTTCTTCCAAATGTCATCTTGTTCTTTTCTTTTTATCTATTCTTTTTAGTCATCTTTTTTTTTTTTCTTTTTTTTAACTTTGTTTTCTCATCTATCTCTTCATTCTGCACCTCCTCCTTCTGCTTTTTTATTTTCCACTTTTTTCTCGCTTAAAGTTTTGAGTGAGATAACAGTTCTAGTTCTCACTCTTCTGCCCACTTGATGAGAGAGATTGTATTCTGAACTGGTGTTTCTTTCATCTTTTTTCCCCACCTTGTTCTTGTTCTACATAAGGCTTTATACCCATCTCTTTTTTTAATGTATACCTCTATGATATGGTTACGGCTAGTAATTCTGAACAATAAATAAACAGCCAAACAATTTCTTGAGGCCTCAGTAATGTGGTTTTACAGAATAATCCTTAGAATTCCTTGGACAGCGAAAAGAATAGCAATCCAGATGTGTTTAAAGAGGTGAGGGCTCGGCAACTTATCACAAACGTCGGAGAAGAAGAAAACAATGAGCTGGTCAAGCAATGGCCGCTGGTCAGCCCTGGGCCTTTTTTGAGCATCGTTACACAAATGGTTATGAGAAGAGAGAAACTGGAATTTGTTGTGACCACTAGAAAGATCTGAGGAAAAACAGACGGAGGAAAACGATGCAAGAAGAATCTTGACAGCCTTTTGTCGTGGCATGAAGGGTTGTCAGCCCATGAACTGGTAATCTGGTAATCTGGTAATCTGAGTTTCAGCTTCATAGCAAACGGATCACCCCATCTTTGCTCCGCTTCTGTGCCAACGAAAAACACACAGAATGTTTATCACAGTCCCTTGTGGAAAGATTGACAGACTGCTGTCTCAGCAAATCTAGCATACACAGGCATTAAAAGCATACGGTAGCCATCAGAAGTGCTAACACAAACAGTCCAACATTAGAAATGCAGATTATCATTGATGGTAGCATATATATGAACTGGTAAAAAAAGTCAAGTAAAGGACCCTTTCCACGCCTTTAGGCGTTTAGGGCATATAGGGCTAGACCTATATTTTTATAGACCAACGGCACAAGATGGGTGATGTGGTCAGCATCACGCCGGCCGCCTCTACTTTCCGGGATTGCACCCGGTACCCACTCAAGGCTGGGTCGACCTGGGAGCCAAGGTCATTTTTGAAGAAAAGTCCGTCTCCACCAGGGAGCGAACCCACGACCTTCCGATCCGCGGCGCGCGTCTAGCCGCTCTGCCACGGCGACTCCCATATGAACTGGTACATGCTGTTAAATATTGCATATTGTGATGAGGTATGGTCACCCGTGTCAGTCGGCCAGGCACTTCGTGTTGTTGATGATGGTATGGAATCTCTAGGCACTCTCTTCTATTTGCTGTCTTTGTATGTACTGTTATATTAGTAGTTTGCTGAATTTTTCTTTTGCGACAGTTTTTGATTTCATTTGTCTTCTGGTTACTCCTGCGGCCTTTCTCAAACATCTAATTTCTAGAGCTGTTAAATTTCTTTTTACATCTGTTAACAAGCCAGATTTATTAACTGAACACATTTGTTAACATTTCACATTTATTAACGACACATTTTTATCTAGCCACATTTGTTAACAACACACTGTTTTTTTTTATCCAGCTACATTTGTTAACAACACACTTTTTTTTATCTAGCCACATTTGTTAACAACGCACTGTTTTTTTTATCCAGCCACATTTGTTAACAGCACACTGTTTTGTTTTATCCAGCCACATTTGTTAACAACACACTGTTTTTTTATAAATCCATATTTGTTTAACCAGTTATGCAAGTTTCGAACACTTTCCCCCCACAGGTTTGTCCCGTACAAGGAGAACCCTGAAGGTAACTACCAGTGCCACGAAAACACCGCTGTGTTCCTCATCTCCGCCTATCAGGTCATCATCCTTGCCGTTGTCTTCTCAAAGGGGGCCCCGTTCCGGAAGTCGATATTCTCAAACTGTAAGTGTTTAATCATCACAGTATTTAAAGTGTGTTTTCTTCTCCTTCTCCAGCTACTAGTTTTCTTCTTCTTCTTCTTCTTCTTCTTCTTCTTCTTCTTCTTCTTCTTCTTCTTCTTCTTCTTCTTCTTCTTCTTCTTCTTCTTCTTCTTCTTCTTCTTCTTCTTCTTCTTCTTCTTCTTCTTCTTCTTCTTCTTCTTCTTCCTCTTCCTCTTCTTCTTCTTCATTTTTGTCTTCTTCTTCTCCTCCTTCTCTCCTGCTCCTCCTTCTCTCCTGCTCCTCCTTCTCTCCTGCTGTTCTTCTTCTTCTTCTTGTTCTTCTTCTTCTTCTTCTTGTTCTTCTTCTTCTTCTTCTCCTTCTTCTTTTTCTACTGCTTCTTCTCATCTTCCTTCCTCTTCTTCTTCTCCTCTTCCTTCCTTCTCCCTTGGCTGCTGCTGCTGCTCGTCCTCCCCATCCCCATCCTCCTTCTTTTTTTTATTCATTTAGTTTGTACCGGCACCAGTTATTGAATGTTTGCATTTTATTAGTAATTATTTCAGTTGTCCTAAAATGAACATGTTTAAGGAGATAAAGGCGGTTGCCTGTGGATCCGAAGGTCATGGATTCAGGTACTTTGGCTCCCAGCCTTAAATGGTTACCAGGTAAAGTCCTGGGAGGTAAAGGCAGTCAGCATGATGTTGACCACATTACCCTTGCCATACCGATTGGTCTATTAAATATAGGTCCAAACTTATGTGCCCAGTAGACCTGAAGGCTTGAAAAAAGGTTCTCAAAGGATCTAAAGAAATGGACTGAGGAAATGAGAACGGCCAAAAGAAACCCTAACACGGATGTTTATGAGAGAGGCCAAAGTTGCTGGATTGAATTCCAACCATGATATCGAAGGAATTGCACAGGCAGAATGGAGGAGTAGATTGCGAGACCTTTGTGACTCACAATGGCGCATTAGAATGATGCTGATAGAATGTCGTGAGAAGACATATTTTAAAACATGATAAAATGTTTTTTTTTTAAATAATTTGTTTCATGTTTGTTTCTTGCAGGGCTCTTTATGGGCAATATCGTTGTAGGTCTGGCAATGAATATTTGGATCACATTGTACCCGACTGACCCCATTGCAAATTTGATTGGGGTAGGCAGAAGTTTATATCTGTTTATGTCATTTTCATTTTGTTGTGAATTGCTGGGAGAAAAAGAAAGAGGTGATTGGGTGAAGGAGATTTAACTGAAAATTGTACAAATGTGATAGAAATTACAATAACTAGCTATTGTCTTGTCAATATTGTTGTTAAGGATGTCAAGAAGGACTTCTGTGACAGACTGTTCAGGATCAGGGCAGTCTAGAACAGAATTCACGCCATTTTGAAACTTCCTACTTCACTCATACACTCGCTGAACTGACAGGCTTGACGGGATCTTCATTTGCCGAATTATTACTGTAGGTTTAACCCTTTCACTGATCAAGAAACAGACAAAAGAATACTGCTCCTCTTTCTTCTTCTTCTGCTTTCTAGCCCCCAGTGGAGCACAGGCCTTCAACCAAATCGGGTCTAGTTGTTCCATCCTTTGCTATCGCATGCATCTCCTGCCATACTTTTTAACTTCACTCTCCAGCTCCCTTTTGTCTTCCTTTATTCCAAAAGGTTCCATGGCCCAGCTACTGAGTTGAATGCTTGGAACGACACTGTGAGCTGTGGATTGCATGTGGAATGTTTTCTTTTTTCTGTTGTGCCCACAGTATGTTGATAACCACTAAAATGGTGGGTGGCTGATTAAACTGAGAATGGGGATACTTTTTGTGTGTGTGCTTTCAAGATTGATAGTTTGCACCGGCATTGAGCTAAACTTCTGACGTGGGATTGTTAGTGTTGGCACATCTGATGGGTGCTGTTTACATTTTTACTTTGTCTGTGCAAGCTTCAAGATTTTTGCTGGGACTAACAAGTCTTTCACTAGTTTTCTAATGGGACAGTGAGAGGCATTTTGAGTGATTTCCCCTGGTGCAGAAACTGACCGGTAATAGGGCCACCCGTCTGCTGTGAGAACCCTGACTATCTAAATGTCCATAAGCCTGCATGCCCGGCTCTTAACGTTTTGAAAGAATGTTTGTTTGTTTATTCATTTATTCTTTTCGTATCAGTATTATTTCAATTACAGGCTGCAGGAGATCGCGAAAAGTGGAGAGGCATGTTTACCCATGCCAGCCGGCAAGGCACCTGATGATGATGAAGATTTCAATGTGTTATGCATATTTTAATATTTAAAAAATGGTGTGTTTTAAGACGGGTCTCACCGAGCTTATCGTTATTTTCTTGTTCCCCAGTTAGAGGTCTTTCCGTCATTAAAATACCGAGCCTTGTTCCTTGGTGTGGCATTTATCAACTTTATCCTTGCCTATACAACTGAGGTAAGAGTTTGAATTGATGATAGAAGTGATGATATTATAGTTTAATGTTTATTTTTAATGATACTAGTCTTAAATAGAACACCACAACATATCTAAATTGAGAATGGAGGTGGAGGCAGTATGTGGACTAAACCCAATCGTCCAAAGATGACTAATTCTAGTCACTTCTGTTTGTGCCACAAGCTCATAAGTGCTGATATATGCAGTCTTATTTTCAAAAAGTGTAGTTCAACTCCATTGGTCCTTTGTTTGCCTGTTTGGTGTTTAATAGCCCAGAATATTAATATAATGCCTACAAATAGCATCAAAGGGTGGTGTGGGGGGTCCTTATGACCTCAATGGTTTTTGAAAGCCAAGTTAAGTTTCCTGGAAGCTTCAGTGATTGAGGTCATGGGGTGAGTCACCTGAGACATTGTTTTAAACACCCTGTGGAATGTATTCTGTTTGATGCTTCACCCTGTTCATGTTTGTTCGTTACCCCTTTATATATCTTTATATATTTCAACAACAAAAACAAAAACAACAAAATGTTAAGAAAAAATTTTGTGAATTTTTTTTTTTTAGTTACCTGTGTAAAATGGTCGGTTTTTCTTTTAAATTACTTTTCTTTTCCGGAAATTCTTATGGTTTAATGACACATCTTGTTTTTTAGCAGTCATGGAGGGAAAAGTTAAAGTACATGGTTCCACTGTCCGGCTGCTACGCTGACTGCGTGATGTCACACCGAGCTAGGGATTTCATATGAAGTGCTTTTTGCCTCAGTCCAAAGTGGTTAATGCCAGCTGCAGTAATGCATGTGCAACTGCTGATTTGTCCTGACTGCAGCTTCCAGTATCAGTGAACTGCAATTTTGGTGGTGAACTGTTGGAGCTGGCACCTCTGGTTTCACAGCTGGCTTATGAATTTAATTTGTGTGAAAGCTGCTGACTTTTCCAGGAGTGAATTCTGGTCAGCTTTTCTCTTTAGACATTGATGAGCTTTTGCTTCTTCTTCTTCATGTTCACTGGCTGTAAACTCTGATGGAAAGTTCTGGTTGTTTGTCCTCCTTAAGACTTTAGTCTTGTTCCAGAACCTGAGTGTTGTGTGCACATCCATTTTACACATGTGACTTATTTTTATGCAGACTTGGGTTCCTTGCATCCCAGGCAGATGCACTATGATTTTAAAGGAAGCCCCCAGTTAGTCAACCTTTACAACATGCTTGTAGGGGAGACAGTGGGTCTGTGTTTCCTATCTCCACAGTGGGTCCCTGGAACCCACACAGGAAGTTCATAAGATTGTGTGAGGTTTTCTTTGGCATAGGAACAGGCCAATTAGGCAATAACTGGTTTGCTGTGAAGTTGAATGTTGAATTAAGAATCAACAGCACTCAGGACACTCCCATAAGCACTCTGTCCCCATCTTCAGCAGCAAGTGAAGAGTTAAAATTCCGATGGTACCAGTAACTGTCTGATTGTACATCCGTCTCGCCATTTCCCTGAGTGTTGAGCATCAGCCAGATCCCCTTGTAACTCCTCGCTGTGCCATTCTCCTCAGACCGTCATGATCTATTTGTTGGTCGGCACTGTTCAATCACTCTCAAAGGGCCCTTGCAACACCGAGCTTGTCATATATCAGTTCACCACCAAGTGATGCAGAACCGGCCAGTCTATCTGCCTGCTCATTTCCCAACACACCGGCAGCATCTGGAGAAAATATCCAAAGGATGCTAACTAACCGGGACCTCTGAAGTGATGCTTGCCACTCTGCACGGAGCATGCCTGTCTCCACCTTTCTCAGCTGTGAAGTTTGACTTGCAACATTGTGACTAATTAATGTGACTAACTAATGCTTAGAATATCTTTTTGATTAAAAAAAAAAAGAAAATACATTATAAACATCATACTCATACCTCCCCGTGTGGATTCTCGGGCCCTACTATGGGAAAAAACAAGAATAGACCCACTGCCTACCCAAAAGCATGTTGTAAGAGTCAACTAATTGGGAGCTTTCTTCGAAGTCGGAGTGCAACTGCCTGAGAGGCAAGGAACCAACAGTCGGGGTACAGATCTGTCAAACGGATGCACACGCAACACTCAGGTTCTGGGACAGGACTGCAGTCCAGAAGTGGACGAACAACCAGAACTTTCCGCCGGAGTTTACAGCTCGTGAACGAGAAGAAGAAAATACTCATACCAACACCGAACTACTGATGTCACCAATGGACATTATCTACACATTATCTAAAGCCCATTTACACAGCATCACCAGATGTGAGATAAGACACCTGAGAAAGGCAACCAGCCTAACAATGCCAGATCAAGTGGCTGATAGTTCTATCAGACAGATTGTGGGAACAACAGCCTGCACTACATTCATGGAGAAACAGCCGGTCAAGTTGTTGGGCCATCTCGTTAACACGCAGCAACATCAGATACCATCTCAAGCACTATATCCTAGAAGAGTGGTTCTCAGTCTTCCTAATGCCACGACTTTTAAACAGTTCTCGTGTGTTGTGGAGACCCTTCAATACAGTTCCTCATATTGTGGTGACCACCAACCATACAGTTATTTTCGTTGCTACTTCATAACTTAATGAATTTGTTTTTTCCGATGGTCTTAGGTGACCCCCGTGAAAGGGTCATTTGACGCCCCAAAAGGGTCATGACCCACAGGTTGACAACCGCTATCCTAGAAGATCAGCTACAAGAGCAATATGATGACCATGAAAAATATGGATTGATAACATCATAAAGACACTTTGACCTTCACAGCCTGACAGTAGCCAGTGCCAGCCAGCATGCACTGTATTGCAGATTGTTACTCCCCATGACTCTCAGGGACAGAAGCAGTTTGTGATAATGATAGTGATTTTACCTTTTTGATAATTTATCTTCTTGCTTCTTTTAAATCAGAAATTCATAATAGACAATGAAGTTATTCGCGGTAAAATTGGGAGCTATTTGACGCGATGCTGGCCATCGCAGGATTTGGCCTACCACAAGATTGAATCAGAAATTGAGAAGGATCACTCCTGGCCGCCTGTGTCGGACAAAAAGGTAGGTCAATTCTGTTGTGTTATTTTCTTAGGTTATTAAAATTACTATCTGAATGTGGGTGCACTGCTGGTGTAATGGCTAGATACTCATTTGTGAATTCAAAAGTCATGGGTTCAAATCCAAATTGAGTTAGACTTTTTTTCCCCCAATAACTGTGGCTTTTAGGTTGACTCAGCCTTGATTGGGAACCAGGAAAAGTCCTGGAAAGTAAAGGTGGCACATCAGCACCCAGTGCCAATTGGCCTATAAAATTAGCTCTAGCATTATATGCCCAGAGGAGAAAATCTGAGATCTTGAAAGATTTGAACATCAAGGAAGATTGGCTAATAAACAGCATCCTGTCTCGGAAGCTGAAATGTTTTGGTCATATCAAGCACCACAACAGAGTGGAAAAAAGGCGCAGAAGGCATGGTACCAGGAAGGAGGGGCAGGGAACACGAAGATGGGCACAGGATATAAGTGACTCCTTGTGTATGAAAGCACATGAGGTGGGAGAACTGGCGAAAGACTTGAGTTTTTTTCAGGAAGACCGTGATGAGAAAGACGTTCTGCAAAGGACCTGCTACATGATGATTATATTCCCAGTAGTATGCCTGCAGGTGAGCAAAGTGATCCTCACTGTTTGAATTTAAAGCAAAATCTATATCTTAGTCATACAATCAGAATCGCCGGAACAAACCAAAACCATAAGTTTCACCAGCAACAGTTTTTAACATGAGTAACAATTTCGGAGATAAATTTATAGATATTTAAAAAGATGGACAGATTACGCTGATGATACTACTGTAAAGGAAAAACCCCCAAATTATACAGAGAATTAATGGTCTGAATAAACAAAGTTTCAAAATAGATGAGAAAATTTGGATTTCAGTTCATCATCATCATCATATAGTGGGTTCTTTGCAGAAACATTTACTTCTCAGGTGACGGGGACATCAGAATCAGAATATGAAGATTCCAATGTGGGTTCTGGGGCCTCATTGTGGGGAACACAAGAACAGATCCAGTTCCTCCCCAACAAGCATGTCATAGGAGTTGACTAAGTGAGAGCTTCCTTCATATTTAGAGTGCATATGCTTAGAGGCAAGAAACCTACAGTCTGCATACACATGAGTAGTTCTGTAAAACAGATGTGCGCCCAACACTCAGGTTCTGGAACAGGACTAGAGTTCAGAAGTGGACGAACAACCAGAAATTTCCACCTGAGGTAATAGCCAGTGAACTCCTTTGGAGAAAACAGTAGTAGAGGGTAAGAACCTGAAAGAATAGACAGGGTTGAACAGGATGACTGTAGATGCAGTATATCAAACACAGGTTGGGCATGGAAGTTACAGAACAGGAAAGTTGGCCAGGAACTGGGTAGCTTTCCATCACCTCAGGACCAGAGTAACATTCTGCAAAGGACCTCATACATGATGATGATGTTCAGCCTTTCAGGACTCTCCATTTGTCAGTGTAACCATGAAATATGTCATCTTCAAATATATGTCGATGAAATATGTCGTCTTCAAATCTATGACCATGAAATATGTCGTCTTCAAATCTATGACCATGAAATATGTTGTCTTCAAATCTGTGTCCATGAAATATGTCGTCTTCAAATCTATGTCCATGAAATATGTTGTCTTCAAATCTATGACCATGAAATATGTTGTCTTCAAATCTATGACCATGAAATATGTTGTCTTCAAATCTATGACCATGAAATATGTCGTCTTCAAATCTATGACCATGAAATATGTTGTCTTCAAATCTGTGACCATGAAATATGTTGTCTTCAAATCTATGACCATGAAATATGTCATCTTCAAATGTATGATTATGAAGTCTGTGACTTTTATATATATATGATTATGAAATCTTTTACCTTCAAAACCTTGAAATCTGTGACGTGCAAATCTGTGACCACGAAATATGTGACCTTTAAATCTGTGACCATGAAATATGTGACCATCTGTGACCATGAAATATGTGACCTTTAAATCTGTGACCATGAAATATGTGACCTTCAAATCTGTGATCATGAAATATGTGACCTTCAAATCTGTGACAATGAAATATGTGACCTTCAAATCTGTGACCATGAAATATGTGACCTTCAAATCTGTGACCATGAAATATGTGACCATCTGTGACCATGAAATATGTGACCTTTAAATCTGTGACCATGAAATAGGTGACCTTCAAATCTGACCATGAATTCTTACCTTTGAATCTATGACCTCAAAATATGTGACCATGAAATCTATGACTTCAAATCTGTGACCATGAAATCTATGACTTCAAATCTGTGACCATGAAATCTATGACTTCAAATCTGTGACCATGAAATCTATGACTTCAAATCTGTGACCATGAAATATGTGACCTTCAAATCTGTGACCATGAAATATGTGACCTTCAAATCTGACCATGAAATATGTGACCTTCAAATCTGTGACCATGAAATATGTGACCTTCAAATCTGACCATGAAATATGTGACCTTCAAATCTGTGACCATGAAATATGTGACCTTCAAATCTGAGCATGAATTCTTACTTTTGAATCTAGGACCTCAAAATATGTGACCATGAAACCTGTGACTTCAAATATGTGACCATGAAATCTGTATCTGCAGGTGGACCTGGCCGAAGTCTTCCAGCGGCTGGACAACTACCAGACTTCGACTGACGCAGACAAAGACAAGACCAGGTTGGAGGATGTCTTGGATTCGGACAATGAAGAATCCTCGCTTGTCGCTGCTGCAAAGGTAAGATCCGCCAGCCGCAGCAACACCAAGAAATTAATCCTGTGAACATAAAACGCTTAACAAAAGGGGGAATCAGAAGAACATGCACCAAATTTTTCTTGTTTTCCCTTTCATTCAGTTTTTCAGTCACCCAGCTGACTGGCTTATGCTGCTACTGCTGATATTGCTACCACTATTACTGCTGCTGCTACTGCTGATATTGCTACCACTATTACTGTTGCTACTGCTGATATTGCTACCACTATTACTGTTGCTACTGCTGATATTGCTACCACTATTACTGTTGCTACTGCTGATATTGCTACCACTATTACTGTTGATATTGCTACCACTATTACTGTTGCTACTGCTGATATTGCTACCACTATTACTGTTGCTACTGCTGATATTGCTACCACTATTACTGTTGCTACTGCTGATATTGCTACCACTATTACTGTTGCTACTGCTGATATTGCTACCACTATTACTGTTGCTACTGCTGATATTGCTACTACTGTTACTGTTGCTATTGCTGATATTGCTACCACTATAACTGCTGCTGCTACTGCTGATATTGCTACCACTATTACTGCTGCTGCTACTGCTGATATTGCTACCACTATTACTGCTGCTGCTACTGCTGATATTGCTACCACTATTACTGCTGCTGCTACTGCTGATATTGCTACCACTATTACTGCTGCTGCTACTGCTGATATTGCTACCACTATTACTGCTGCTGCTACTGCTGATATTGCTACCACTATTACTGCTGCTGCTACTGCTGATATTGCTACCACTATTACTGCTGCTGCTACTGCTGATATTGCTACTACTATTACTGCTGCTACTGCTGATATTGCTACTACTATTACTGTTGCTACTGCTGATATTGCTACTACTGTTACTGTTGCTACTGCTGATATTGCTACTACTATTACTGCTGCTGCTACTGCTGATATTGCTACCACTATTACTGCTGCTGCTACTGCTGATATTGCTACCACTATTACTGCTGCTGCTACTGCTGATATTGCTACCACTATTACTGCTGCTGCTACTGCTGATATTGCTACTACTATTACTGCTGCTACTGCTGATATTGCTACCACTATTACTGCTGTTGCTACTGCTGATATTGCTACCACTATTACTGCTGATATTGCTACTGCTGATATTGCTACTACTATTACTGCTGCTACTGCTGATATTGCTACCACTATTACTGCTGCTACTGCTACTGCTGATATTGCTACTACTATTACTGCTGCTACTGCTACTACTAATATTTCTACTGATAATATTACTACTATTATTACTGTTGCTGTTGCTACTACCATTACTACTGATATTACTGCTGCTGCTTCTTCTGTTACTGCTGCTATTACTGCTATGAAGGTTGACTGCAATGGATCTCCAACACGTCCATCTCTTGTCATGGTAGTACACTCTCTCAAACTGCTTTTTCTCCATCTCTTGATGTTGTCCTCCCACTTGTTTCAATATCAATCTCCTGCTCTCGACATTTCCCTCCAGTATAGTTTTATACAGTGTTATGTCTTTTAATGTGGCCAAAATATTCTAGTTTTCTCTTGAAAAGATTTTTTTTTAGTAACTCTCTTGTCATCCACAGTCACTCCAGTATGTCTGTATTTGAATGTTTTTGTTTCCATGAAAAACAGCCCATTCTTCTGTACATCGACATCTCCAGAAACTTAATTTGATGTTCTAGTTTACATTTAGCGTCATGAATATAATCAGGCCATAATGGAGTCATAAGGGAACATCCACTAAATGCTGTTGTTTGTTTGGTTTGGTTTATACAACAGACCAACATCCTGACACACGGGCAGTAAAACATAAGTGCTCTGTTCTTCTTCTAACTCAAGTCTGAGTCCGAAGAAGCTCAGCACAGTGCACAGGTTCTGTAGCACCGGCGAGGATCCTGAAATACTTTGGGTAGATTTGTAACTCCAAATTTTACTCTGGGCAGCGCCGTTAGGCTTCTCTTTTTGAATTCCAACTGCCAAGGGATTTTTTGCATGCACAACAATACACACGGGCGTCCGGTCTTACTACACAGAGACCAGGGGAATTACTAGAAGAAGTCCCTGGAAAAAATTCCAGCCTTCACCAGGGCCTGAACCCAGGACGTGCAGCACTTGAGGCGGATGCCATGCCTCGGGACCACGCCTTTAAACACTGCACAGGTGCATACAGAACAAGTGACCTTTAACCTCACTTTTTAATGACAATTTTAGAGAACT